AGCAGTCGCATCGGCGGACGCGTTTGCTAGAAGCATCTTAAAACGTGGTAGGTACATCAATCATTGCAAGTTGTGCCATCAGACATTGAGGAGCCTTATCATGCCTGATAAGGGCCTTAACTTTTTTGAGACGCATTGGACGTGTGCGGTGGAGGAGCAGTCACATCAAGGGAATTCTTTGCTCGCAAGGTTCAAAAACGCGCCACGAATATAAATAGTTGCAAGATGTGACATCAGTCAAAAGTGGAGCCTTATCATGCCTGATAAGGGCCTCAACTTTTTTGAGTCGTTTTTGACACGCGGTTGTGGGGAAGGAAACACATCAGGGGACGCGTTTGCTCGGAAGCCTCGTAAAACGTGGTAGCTACATGAATCATTGCAAGTTGTGACCTCACACAAAATTTGAGCCTTATCATGCCTGATAAGAGCCTAAACTTTTTCGGGTCGTTTTCGACGTGAGTTGCGTGGAGGCAAACACATCAGGGGACATGTTTGCTCGCAAGGTTCCAAAAGCGTGCTACGTATATAATATTTTCAAGATTTGACATCGGAGAAAAGTCCAGCCTTATCATGCCTGATAAGGGCCCCAACTTTATCGAGTCGTTTTAGACGTGCGTTGTGGGCAAGCAAACATATGAGGGGACCTGTTTTCTCGAAAGCCTCTTAAAATGCGGTACGCACATCAATCGTTTCAAAGTTGAGGCGTCAGACAAAAGTGGAGCCTTATCATGCCTGATAAGGGCCTCAACTTTTCGGGGTATTTTTCTACGTGCATTGCGGTTAAGCGGTCACATCAGGGGAAGCGTTTCCTTGGAAGCCTCTTTAAACGCCGTACGTACGTCAATCGTTACAAGTTGTGACGTCAGACAAACTTTGAGCCCTATCGTGCATGATAAGGGCCTTAACTTTTTCGAGCCGTTTTCGATGTTCTCTGTAGGAAAGCAGTCACATCAGGGGAAGTGTTTGTCTTTAAAATTGAATTTTTCTCAAGGTTTATTGCGCTCCACCTGGTGGAGACTTGACGACATTAGACGGGAGGCCCTGGGTTGCCACTCCACCAAGTTACGACTAGATGGAGTGCCATAGAATTTCAAAAGGTAAAATTTCAATGGCTTTAACAAATTCTATTTGGTGAAGAAGAATTTGTAGAACCACCGTCCTCCATGTTATGCAATGAACACCTAACCTCTCGGCTACTGTAACATGCTGACATTCAAGCTACATTGTTAGGCTGAGCTTTCACTTTGTAGACCTTTCGTAAATGATAACCACATATAACCTTCAAAAACGCATTGATTTACCCATCCATGCGAAGTATTTTTTTAATTTTATTGATGGTAATATGCGGTTATCAGTTTCAGAAGATGTAAAAGGAGAAGGTTCAGTCTAACTTTGTAGCTACAATGTCAGCATGTCACAGTGGCTGAGTGGTTCCGTCTTGATTTCATAACCAGGAGGGCGGTGGTTCGAATCCACCTGTAGTCTATAGTTCGGTGAAGTCCTTGAAATTTTATTTTTGCCAAAATTCGTCGCCGTCCACAAGGGGGCGACTTGGCGACAGGGACAGTGAGGCCCGGGGTTTCAACTCCGCTGAGTTGCCACTAGGTGGAGCGCGGCAGAACTCTGAAAAATAAAATTTCATATGCTTTAACAAATTCTACATTGTAAAAGGGCCGACAATGGTATTCGAACATGCGACCTGTTGGTTATGAAACGAAAACAACCTCTCGGCCAATGTCACATGATGACATTGAACCTGCAATATTAGGCTTTACTCGGAAGGCTCAAAAACGCACTACGTATATCAGCTGTTGCTACATGTGACGTCAGACAGAATCTGAGCCTTATCATACTTGATAAGGGCCTCAACTTTTTTGAGTCGGTTTTTGACATGCGTTGTGGGGAAGCAAACACATCAGGGGACGCCTTTGCTCGGAAGCCTCGTAAAACGTGGTAGCTACATGAATCATTGCAAGTTGTGACGTCACGCAAAAGTTGAGCCTTATCATGCCTGATAAGAGCCTAAACTTTTTCGGGTAGTTTTCGACGTGAGTTGCGGGGAGGCAAACACATCAGGGGACATGTTTGCTCGCAAGGTTCCAAAAGCGTGCTACGTATATAATGTTTACAAGATTGGACATCATAGAAAAGTTCAGCCTTATCATGCCTGATAAGGGCCCCAACTTTTTCGAGTCGTTTTAGACGTGCGTTGCGGGCAAGCAAACGCATGAGGGGTCGTGTTTTCTCGAAAGCCTCTTAAAATGCGGTCGCACATCAATCGTTTCAAGTTAGGGCGTGAGACAAAAGTGGAGCCTTATCATGCCTGATAAGGGCCTCAACTTTTTCGAGTCGTTTTTGACGTGCTTTGCGGGGAAGTAGTCACATCAGAGCACCTGTTTGCTCGGAAGCCTCTTAAAACGTCGTAGGTACAACAATCGTTGCAAGTTGTGACGTCAGACAAAAGTAGAGCCTTATCATGCCTGATAAGGGCCTCAACCTTCCCGGGTATTTTTCTACGTGCGTTGCGGTTAAGCGGTCACCTCAAGGGAAGCGTTTGCTTGGAAGCCTCTTTAAACGCCGTACGTACATCAATCGTTACAAGTTGTGGCGTCAGACAAAATCTGAGCCTTATCGTGCATGATAAGGGCCTTAACTTTTTTGAGCCGTTTTCGATGTGCTCTGTAGGGAAGCAGTCACATCAGGGGAAGTGTTTGTCTTTAGAATTGAAATTTTCTCAAGGTTTATTGCGCTCCACCTGGTGGACACTTGACGACATTGGACGGGGAGGCCCTGGGTTGCCACTCCACCAAGTTACCACTAGATGGAGCGCCACAGAGTTTCAAAAGGTAAATTTTCAATGGCTTTAACAAATTCTATTTGGCGAAGAAGAATTTGTAGAACAACCGACCTCCAAGTTATGCAATGAACACCTAACCTCTCGGCTACTGTAACATGCTGACATTCAAGCCACATTGTTAGGCTGAGCTTTCACTTTGTAGATCTTTCGTAACTGATAACCACTTATAACCTTAAAAAACGCATTGATTTACCCATACATGCGAAGTATTTTTTTTAAATTTTATTCATGGTAATATGCGGTTATCAGTTTGAGAAGATTTAAAAGAAGGAGGTTCAGCCTAACTTTGTAGCTTCAATGTCAGCATGTTATAGTGGCTGAGTGGTTCCGTCTTGATTTCATAACCAGGAGGGCGGTGGTTTGAATCCACCTGTAGTCTATAGTTCGGTGAAGTTCTTGAAATTTTATTTTTGTCAAAATTCGTCGCCGTCCACAAGGGGGCGACTTGGCGACAGGGACAGTGAGGCCCGGGGTTTCAACTCCGCTGAGTTGCCACTAGGTGGAGCGCGGCAGAGGTCTAAAAAATAATATTTCATATGCCTTAACAAATTCTACATTGTAAAGGGGCCGACAGTGGGATTCGAACCTGCGACCTGTTGGTTATGAAACGAAAACAACCTCTCAGCCAATGTCACATGCTGACATTGCACCTGCAATATTAGGCTTTACTCGCAAGGCTCAAAATCGCGCTACGTATATCAATTGTTGTTACATGTGACGTCAGACAGAAGCTGAGCCTTATCATACCTGATAATGTCCTAAACTTTTTCGAGTCGTTTTTCACTTGCGTTGCGGGGAACCAGTCGCACCAGGGGACGCGTTTGCTCGGAAGTCTCTTTGAACGTCGTACGTAGATCAATCGCTGAAAGTGTTGACGTTGTACAAAAGTGGAGCCTTATCATGCCTGATAAAGGCCTCAACTTTTTCAAACTGTTTTCGACACATTGCACAGCAGCTGGCGCTTCGAGGAAAGCGTTTGCTCAAAAGCCTTTTTAAACGTGGTACGTACATCAATCGTTACAATATCTGCGATTGGTTGTCTATGATATATTGTAACAATACTGATTGTTGGCCTAGTAGTGTACTTGCTTACTTACATGCTTTGGCCGCAAATAACACACTTACACAAAGTAAAGGAACATTCAACGACAAGCACAAGTGGCACAAGCACTTGTCGTTGAGTGTTCCTCTATTTTGCGTGTGTGTTATTTGCAGCCAAAACATGTCAGTAAGCTTGTCTATCAGCGGAGTTGAAAAAGCAAACAGGGCAAACCTGCCAGGATTCTAACCGTGTGTCCACTTATCCGTAGTCAGAGGCGTTATACTTTGCACCACATGTACCGCAGACGAGAGGTAGGTTTATCGTAATAGGATTTCTGTTGTTTCTTAATTGAGGAAAAAAAAAGTAGAGTGAACCTGCTAGAATTCAAACCTTCAATCTCCCAATCCGTAGTCAGGCGCGTTATACGCTGCACACAGGTACGGACAGGAATGGTTGTTTTACCGTTAACTGCCTTCCGTTTCTTTTTTACTGAGAAAAAAAAGATACACCGCGTAGCTGTAACGATTCAAACCTGGAATCCGCTGATTCGCAGTCAGGCGCGCTATTATTTGCGCCATAATCCCGGACGCGACAAGTTGGTGTCCCCTCACCTGCCTTCTTGAGTTTTTTTTTTGGGGGGGGGGGCGGGAGGACGCTAATTAAATTAAACTGAGCAAGAACTGAAATGTGTGGCGATTGTGCTTGGTCAATTACAACGTTAAAACTCGCGAAAATCTGGATGAAAACCTGCCATGGAGAGTGCATGCTTTTCAAATACCGATAAAATTATATAAATTATTATGCGGGGTCACACGAAATTTTATTGCATTTCATCACCAGTCGACGCGTTCAGAATCTGTCACTCACCATTATTTGTAGCCGTCTTGGTCGGAGCCTCAACACAGCCTCTATCATCCCAACGCCGAGAAAGATCAAAGGAGGCTAATTTCCGAAACAGCAGCTGGCGTTGGCGATGAAGTGCTCCTTCAGAATGTCACCTTTGTTTTATTGTTCTTTTCATATTACAAGAGCTATGAGCCCCCTATGCAACTCCTCCCCCCTCAAAGAAAAAATATAAATAGTTTTTTGACGACACGTAAATTGACGATGGAAGAACAATTTTTATTTGTCGGGGAAGAATTTTATTTTGATAAGTGAGAAGCACCATGCTGACTACCTGCTGCTTTTTGTTAAAACATGTAGATACATTGATTTATTCGCTGAGTCTTGAATCCGAGCCGGCCGAGGAGGTCTACCTGGAGAAGCATAAACTCCCATGCCTTTTTCTCGTGGTTCCTCTGTAGTTAGGATGGGATAACTCAGGCTTCCCTCGCTCTCAGACGACCGTACACTCTCGCGTGATTTGGTGGCCTCCCTCTTGTAGAACTGCTTGCTGAATCTTTGTGCAAGGAACTTGCATATTCCTCGGGCGTGGTAATCTGATATAAATAAAGAATGAATAAAATTACTTTCTCGTTCAAACCAAGCGCAAGCTGCATGCACTAGCACAAGTTATGAAACACCATCAAAGTAATCACGAAACGACGGGAATTCTTTGAAGGGCTTATTACTTTGTTAGATACACCCAATCAAAGCAGCAGAACTAGGCCAAGTAAAACATATCGAAAATTATTTGTTGTTTGGTTTCAAGTGTAACGTAGTGGCACTGACAGTTGGGAGGGTAGGTGTGGGTTCATGGTTAAGAACGGCGTCAAGTTGCCGCGACAGCTTTTTGCCCGAGTGTCCCTCCAGATTGTTTTTCTGGTAAATAAATTGAAATTGAGTTTAATCGAACTGAGCAGGAAAAACAACAAACAAAGAAAATCGAAGTCACCGATGTATTTTGTTGGGCTGGCGCCCATCCTCAAGTTTTCTTCGTTTGTTCTCTCGTGTTCTCGCGCCGTTCTTAACCATGTAGCGCGAGGACAATGATCTCAACTGTAAGGAAATGAAGCTGACGAAAAGCACACTCTTTTGTCTTTGTGATTCAAACTCGCCCCCTCCAGTGCGGACGCGTCCTATAGGACCAACTATAGCCCAACAGACTGTCCTACTGGGTTATTGCGTCAAAGGGTTCGTAAAGAAAATTCACGCCTATAATCCTGATGTCACGTGTATTGTTGGCGGAAGCGATCACCGAACACAAGACTGCTGTTTCTCTACGAACAAACAGTTTTATAAATTTGAACCCAGGAGTGGTTAAGAAATTGAGGCTTCTTAGAAAAATAGCTGGAACAAAGATACACAATTAGTCAAACCACTTCAATTACAGCGTTCGTGAGCCAATCATAATTGGTGGACACGTTATTGGTTACTCACTCTCGTTTACATGCATTTACCTAATATTTAATCATTTCCCAGACTAAAAAACTTATAGTAAACTTTACGTGAGGCAAATAGGAGCCATCAACATGGGCTCTTGCGCGAGTGTTTTTTGATTGGTATATATCGTCACGCGACGTAATAGTGTCTTGCGTCAAATTCGCAAACCCGACCGTTTTTCGTGAGCACGCGTCTCTACTACAGAAGTATTAGTCTAGTTGCTAAATATCACAAAACGGTAATTCCAGAATACAGCTCACGCTGGCGGCACCGAAATCCCCTCGTAAAAACTTTCACAGTATTGCCGATGTTACCAGCAGTGTCACACGAAGTAGCATTTTAAGAAAGGACTCACCGCCACTGCATCTGTTCATACATTCCTCGCAGGTTGAGAACTTGTTGCTGTTTCCTCCGCAACCGCTGTAGACGAATCCGCGACAGACGCCCATGCCGGCGTCGAAATACCACATCGGAACGGAGGATTTGCACATTCCCATTTCGGGACCCATGCCGCAGACTGGATGGGAACGTCGTCTTGCTGGAACGAAAACGAACGTGGAGAGAAACGTGTTCAAGATAGCAAGGGCGTATGGAGAGGTCAGCTTGGTTGTACTGCCTGACCACCTGCTCTATGTTATAAGGAAAGGGGCATCATAATTTCATCGTCATAATTTAGTTCACTGTTAACGCTTTGTACGAGGCCTCATATAAGGGGAGCAGTGAAGCAGAGAGAGAGAAAGCAAAGGGAAGGCAGGGAGGATAGCCACGTCAAATCTGGTCTGCTACCTTAAAAGAGCGCAGGGGAAAGGGGAGGAAAATATTAGAGAGGAAAAAAGAGCTAAAGTAAAATACTATAACGCGAAGAAGCGCCTACCGCACGTGTCCAGAAAGTCCAACTGTAACAGAGATGATAGGCTTTGATTACCCGTACGTAACTACCAGGACACCAGAATAATAGTGCACGGTACGAAATACCGAAGCGACCTACACTCGTTAGTTTCCGACGCGTATGTTGCGAGTGCTTCCGTGCGATTGCATAAATATGAAATAGTCTAGCTGCGAATTTCTAGGATGTAGAAGAATGCAACGCTTACATATTTTAACTTTTCACTCGTTAAAACTGTTAAATTAGGTTATATCAGGTGTTAGAATAAGTGTAAGGCTACTCTAACTTAACTTAGATTGCGTATGTTCCATCCAGTTATCTGGTTTCTTGTTATCTTGTCTCTAGAATTTGAGTATGGATCTAAATACAGCCAGCATTCCGTACTGTTGCGCAGCAGTTGCATGGGAGCTGAAGACCATGTAATGAAGTTATATGGCAACGCCTCGTCTAAATGCACCACTGTGACCCAAGCAAAAAAAAGAATTAAAACAACCCTATGCAAAGTGACATATCGCCGCTAAATATTATCGCTATTCCTACGACTTCAATGCTACGGATGTTTCCATCCTTTCGTGTGACGGTACTGCCGATTCGCTCTCTATTAGAAAGTACGCGGGCCTGTTTAAACCAGAGCCCTAAGCACCAACCTAATGTTTTTTTTATAAACGGGTTATTTATGCATATACGAAAGTGCATGTTAAAACATATCAGACAAAAATTACTCTGCAAAGTTGTGACAATAACAATGACATCACAACAAGCACAACGCACTGAAATCATGAAAAAACTTTCCTTCAACAAAACCCACATCGATACTTAACCAACTCTGCACACACATAAGGGTGAGTTGGCAAGAAAGTTCTTGAAAGGTTGGGAGGTTTTACGTCACAGTTATTATTTTTACTTCTCAGTAGCGAAGCCACAAATGTTTTCTATACATGTTTGTGTGTGTACGGGGGAAGGGGGTAGAGCTTTGACATGTTTAATGGATCTTCATGGGTGCGTTTGTGTCTGTGCATGCATATGTGCACATGCACACACGAATGTGAAAGAACATTTGGGGGAAGGGGGGTGGTTGACCTAGCCAACATTGTTTAATTCCCCGCCCCTGCTGGTTACGTCAGGTTTGTTTGTGAAGTAAAAATACTGTCAGAGGCGTAAGCAAACGCTAGAAGAGCACTTGTGTACGCTGTCACCTTTCCACCATTTCATCTTTTTAGAAATCGCAAATATTGTGAGCGCACATGCCTAATATTCTTTGTCATCTGAGCATATCGTGATCATTCGCACAACTTCCTGATCTGTAGATATCATCAACATGTGTGGGCCAGAGCTCGACTCGAATGAAGCCTAACGTGCCTCACCAGTGGCGGAGATTCGGGGTACAAACTGCAAACCATAGCTCAATGCCTGCACCTACTAGAAGAGACAAAATTGGCCCCCCCCCCTTTCCCCATTGGCTATGTATTGTCTATACTTACACGAGCAAACTTGCAGGCATTCTTGTTCGGTTGAAAACCTATTGTAGTTTCCGAAGCATCCACTGTATGTGAACATCCTGCATTGCCTCGTTTTGTGGTCGTAGAACCACCTGAGAAGCCTCCCGTAGCAGTAACCGGCCCTCGGCTTTCTGTAGCACCGTAGGCGCCACTGAGCAGCCGCTAGGGAAAAAGAAACTGAAGTGAGAATGCAGCAAACGTCCACTACAACAAGGGATAGCTATTTCGATGATAGCACGCTTAAATACTTCTAACTTGTCGCTAATCCTCTCCATTCAGATTATGTATGTTTAATTCTGTTACTCACTTTCTAAGATAGTACATTTCAGAAAATACTCATATCGAAAAGTGAAATGCGCGAATCCCGTGACATCGGAACATGGAATATTCTCAAGAAGGACATGAAGAACATGCGTAGACGGCTAAATTGTTCAATCCTCTCAAATGCGCATCAATCTGGAACATTCATTACACAAACGCAGTGTCAAGGAATTTTATAAATATGTATTTTGAACAAACGTTGACTGCAGACATAAGAATTGACTCTATAAAATGAAGAAATAAAATCCTAAACAAGTGACGCCAGGTATCCAGTGCTTACCTATAGAGAAAGTCAACGTGAGAAAGACAGCGACGGTAGCAGCTCGAAAATTCATAACTTTTTGTTCTACATTTACTTTCCGTAGATGGTTCACATTGCACCATGATAAAACCCGTCTCTGACTGCTATTTTTCGAAGCAGTTCGATTACATTCAATAAGATGTCGATCTGTTAGATAAAGTATATTGCTTCCCTTGGCCAGTCAAATGCTTCTCGCGCGAACGTGGCTGGCGCTTTATAAGAAACAATCTCTTGCCGTACCCTGCAAAACTCTGCGGCGATACAGTTGGCGCCATCAACTGAATGCATTGTGCTCGAAATTTCCGTTTGCACCTCTATACAATGGTCAAAGGTGCTACGGCCACAATGAGAGAACCATTGTTTTCTGGAGACGGTAAAAAGCGGGCAGCACTTGTGCGAACGGACCTGCGCTGGTTGCAAATGTTTCGGTTTTGCAAAGAATGAAATAATGTGCGTAAGCCAAGAGCTTGCACGCTTTTTGCGGCGAGTGCAGATGCGAGGTCGTCGCTGGAAGTTCACCGCGTACGTTCTCGTTTTAGGGGCGTGCGGGCAACGGGAAATCTCTAAGATGACGTAACCTAATTGCGTCCTATCCTATTCTGTTGGAGAGACGGAGAGACGGAATCCACTTCGATTTGACCTACGCGTCGAATAGACAATTCGCAAATGCAAACAATTTTATTTTTAATTGTAAATCGATTATGCCAAAATTTCAAGAAGTCAAATGCACCATAAGCACACGAAATGTGTGCATATAGTACAATAATTTTCTTTCCATCGGCCAAGGTATGCACTCGCAAGACTGTCCGATGCTTGACTTTTGAGATTTTACATCGATTTTTATATAGAAATACTTTTTTTCTAAAAAGTGAAAATTTGAGGAGCACTCAAAGAAGCGTACTCGCACTGTCGTCGAAATGCTTATAGCTACTTGTAAATGCATTATGCTCTAACAGGACTCAATTTGAAGCATCTAAATAAATGAAATAAAGAGCGAATTGCACGTTTGTGACATTCTTAGACTCACTTTGTTCCCAGCAAATGAATGCTACTTGACTCGTTGTTGCGCACACATTTTACACCCAAAATATGCTTTCCTTCCAGTGGTAACACAGGGTCTTCCTCCAAACTTACTCGCATCATCCCGGAAAACTCGGACGATCTTGGAAAGGGGCTATACCCCAAATCAATGGTTCATCATTTTTTAACGAAGGATCTCTAAATGATGGAAAGTCTGCACAAAAATGGTGCCAGATGTCCTGACGAGTAAGAGGAAGGAAAATTCACACCACGCTGATGGTCTCCAAGCTGCAGGCTAAGTGCGGTCGTAGCCACTTTACGGCCTCGATTCAGCCCCACCAGACTTTTTGTAGCGTAAGCTACACTGGCCGAGGTTGAGTAGTTTCGTGCGGCTTACGGCGAGCAGTACCGCGCAAGCGCGAGGAGCATCACTGGTGTCACATGGTGCACAGCTGGCGTGCCGAATGACGGGAAGCTCTAAGAGTGACGTGTCGCTAGTGGGCTGGCCCTTGACCCGCGTGAGATACTCGCCCACTAGTCCGTACATCTATCGTTCCGAGGTTCGCCATCTGCCCATGGTTCATTCGTCCGTCCGCCAACCTGTTGTTCGTCCATTCATCCGTCTATGGCTCGTCCGTCCATCCGAGGTTCATCTCTCCGTCCGTCCGTCCGTGGTTCGTGCGTCCATCCATCCAACCATAGCTCGTGCTACGTATATCACGGCATAACCTTAATAAGCCACTGCTCATTCTTAAACGACGGTAGTCTTTCTTGGGGACATTCGACACAAAAGTTTTGGTCTGTCTGTCTGTCTGTCTGTCTCTCTGTATGTATGTATGTATGTATGTATGTATGTATGTAGTATGTATGTATGTATGTATGTATGTATGTATGTATGTATGTATGTATGTATGTATGTATGTATGTATGTATGTATGTATGTATGTATGTATGTATGTATGTATGTATGTATGTCTGTCTGTCTGTCTGTCTGTCTGTCTGTCTGTCTGTCTGTCTGTCTGTCTGTCTGTCTGTCTGTCTGTCTGTCTGTCTGTCTGTCTGTCTGTCTGTCTGTCTGTCTGTCTGTCTGTCTGTCTGTCTGTCTGTCTGTCTGTCTGTCTGTCTGTCTGTCTGTCTGTCTGTCTGTCTGTCTGTCTGTCTGCATGTATGTATGTATGTATGTATGTATGTATGTATGTATGTATGTATGTATGTATGTATGTATGTATGTATGTATGTATGTATGTATGTATGTATGTATGTATGTCGGTCTGTCTGTCTGTATGTCTGTACAATTGTCTGTTTGTACACCCTTAACGGTACCCTAAACGGCACCAAAGTGGCCAAACAGCAGACCCATACTCACCAATATTTGCGTTGCTTCCGTGACTGACCCACCCTTGAGCAAGCGACTTTTAAAGACGATAGTCTTTCTTGTGCACCTTCGACGCAAAAAATTCGGTCTGTCTGTCTGTCTGTCTTTCTGTCTGTCCACTCTTACCGGCATGGGGTACTTGAAACGGCCGACCCCATCCGCAGCGCCCACCAATATTGCGTAAAATTCAGTGTCCATACTTGTGCGATTGTCAATGAAAAAGCAATTATTGCGCATATCTGAGCCACCATAACAACACGTCAATATTCTGCATGTGTGTCTCTTACTAGAAAAGGCGTACATAAGCTATTCTAGGGACTGTAGCGTTTATCACGTTGCGCTGACCATGCAACGCTTGCACGAAAAGGCAAGTGTTTCCAACGCTCTGCTAAGACGACACGGTGGTGGCACCTACCCGTCGCCTCGTGTTGTACACCTTATCACCTCCGAGACGGGCGCGAAGGGCGCGCGCGCCCCGTTTTCCAGGATAACTGCCAGATAGCGCTCATGTCTCACATCTAGCGTGACTTGATGCGCTTGTTCGCCTCCCCTCAACGTTTTTCCTCCGCTGCACGCACGAGGCACTCTAACGCAGCGCCTCCAGAATACTATTAATCGATTTTCTTGCGCAGAACACCAAATAAACGTTTTGTTCACTCTCTCCAGACGCAAGACTATCGTCTTTCGATGACATTTGCAGTGTAACATGCAGATACGGGGCCAATTTTTTTGTCCCCAATGATTCAATAGAACACTGAAAGGAACTCTGCATGAAAGCTGAAGACGGTAAAAGCATCTTAGACGACCTCTTCGAAGGAGGTTCTCATTGGAGCGTTGTCAACAGTGCATAGAACGAGGAAGAGAGTACATTGAAAAGTTCCGAAAAAATTTATGACTAATTTTGAATAAACTATTCTTAAATTAAAAATTCTGACAAATTTCGGGACTGACCTTGTATATCACAATTTACATTGCCCCGAATGCATGTGCCAGAGTAGAAAGGAAAAGTGCTCCGTATAACGAAGCGTTCCGCATAGATTGAAACTCATGTATCGTTTCCATAGAACATTCACACGCATATAAAAAACAGAGTTCACTTGCTGCTATGAAGTTACATATCTAGCAGATATAAAGTAATAAAGAACCACGGGATATGCCGATTCCATTCCTTTCTAGATATGGGATTCTTTAGACAGTCAATGATAGTGATGGTTTATTGTCATTTTTGTATCGGTTGTTGGAGATGATTTATTATGACAGTTTACTCATGAATTACTCTATGAGAGATTACTCACAGATTTTCGTTTATATTTGCCAACTTTGACGCTCTCTTCCGCTAGGTGGTGGCATGCGCACATTTTGCCTTGAATTGCAAAAACTGTCTTCATCGGGATACACATGCTTGAGCGACGTTCATGTTACAGAGTTCCCTGCAAGAAAAAAAACAAAAATAACACAATCATAAACCGTACAAACTTTAATAAGGTATTTGTATATGCAACGAACAGTTATCATTACTCTGCCAACCGGTCAGTGATCAAGACACGCTTACTCAGTTGGCACATACGATCTCAACGCTTCGAAACTCGCCAAATTGTATTATACAACTTCTGCTTGAGTGAGTTGGTTCCTTTTTAAGGTAGACTTACCAGACCCAAAAGATAAATGCCTAGGATGAATGTGTCAGACTTACCAGCGCCAAAAGGCGGACACCTCGGAAGAACGTGTCAAGACTTACCAGCGCCAAAAGATGAACACCTCGGAAGAATCCCTAAATGTTTGGTCTTTTGCGCTGGTAAATCTACCTTACACATTTTATGAGGTATAAATAAAGAAGAAGCCTCGCGGTGCTAGGGTCTTTCATAAATGCCAGAGTACAAATGGTCGGTGAGAACTACTCATCTTCCGGTTCAACCGACTAATACGGGCCCACTACTGGGCGTCCATCTTTCGCCCTTGAATCAAGGTCTATGGTGGCGATGGCAGGGTGGTGTTCAGAGAAATATTTACTGGGTGAGTAGACATTTGATTGGCTTCTCTCTCTGTACGCTCGTCAGTGGGAGGAATGCCAACTTCTTAAGAGACCACACATCGTCCGTTATTCGTGACGTGTAGCCCAAACAGAGACTTAAACGCCGTCTACCGGGGACGTCTCAATGAGCTCATGCTCGTAATAGTCCCCTTCCTGTTTCGGGTTTTGTGCCTCGATTCATTCATAAAAACGTGACTCAGAGAGGGGCGGCGACAGGAAGGAGCACTCAATAGGGCATACGCCGCGCCTGGCAGAAAACGCCGATGCGGGGTTCGATAAGCTGGCCGTCGTTCGTTGTTTGGTTGCTTCGCCTGGTAGCGTTCTTTCGTGCAAGGTTACAAAGCATGGAATCGGTCGAACTGAAGTTCCCTTCTTTCTGTATTGAGTCACTTAAGCACGGGGCGATGCCTCACTTCGAGAGAGGGCTTCGTTCAGAATCTTTTTTCAATCTCCAGTTGTCTCGATCTTTCTGTAGCCACCTTTTGTGTGACTAAAATTCAAGCCCTTTCACACCCGCCACAGACGTACTTCGTTCGGTACATGTTGTGTGTGTGCGTGTGTACGAAAGTGTGCGCGCGGGTGTTCTACTTAAAACAGTTGCGTCTACTTATATGTGTGCACCTCGTGAATGGGTGGTCGTACAATATTTCTGTTAGTACTAAATGTCATTTGCTTAAATTTGTGAGCTTAGAAAAACTACGGACCACAATTAAATGCAGCATGCGGATGTTAACGACAGGAAAATGTGTCTGTGGGCGACACAGCTCAAGACAGCTCCTTGCTTGTCAAGGCAATTGAGTGAGCACTAACCGCAATAAAATCATCCGTCTTCACCT